AGGGAGAGAACGATGAGAAGCGATCTCAATAGCACAAGATAGTGAGATGGGGAAGGAAAACCCTGAGCTTACCGAGGATTCCTCCTTCGCAGACTTGTCTTGAGAGAGGAACTTGCTGGCTGCCTCGCTGGCACTTTTGGCTTGTGCCAGGGAGGCCTCGCTAGTCGCAATCAGTCGAGCGTGTTGTGAAATCAGTCCGATCAGACGATACAGTACGCTGTACAGGGGGAGGGAGGCACAAGGCGAGGGAGGCGGTTTAGTGAAAATTTCAAACAAAACTTCGGGAGACTATGAAAGATATGCCTTTATGCATACATATAAAATATTATTATAATAATATAATAAAAATATGATAATACATAATGGCAGATAGGCGTACACCGATCATGGTCAATTCATGGTGCCTTTGGAGCGCACACTCGAGCCAACGCCATAAGGTAGCTAATAAGAAAGGCAGAAGGACCTTACCGACAAAGACTGACAAGCCCATTTCTGGCTTAATAGCCGTCGTCAGCCAGTCATACCTATTCATGCCTATATCATTAGCCGCCTTGCGGCGTAGGCTCGAGTGTGAGCTCCAAAGGCGCCATGGGCGGACGAGTGCGCCCTCTAAGTGATTGGTGTACACCTATCCTTGTCCTTGTTCCAGTGATCGCATCTTCTTCTTCTGTACACCTATCTGTCACTGTATATTCCTGATCAAAAAGCGAGAAGACAGCGAGCCTGTGGCGCAGTGGTTAGAGCGTTGGACTTCCAATTAACAAGGTCGCGGATTGGAAACTCGAACGGGACACCAATTTTTAGGGCACCACTTGGGGTTGGGTTTGACTAGCTGACGACGGCCAATAAGCCAGAAATTGCCATCTTTGTCTTCTTGTCGTTGTCGGTAAGGCCCTTATGCCCATAATAATATATAAATGTATTGTTATTATTAATATATTATATATTAACATGCTGGCGGTGAAACGCATTCATTCGAGGCCGGTGGAAAAGTAAGCAACAAGGTCTGACGATGAGAACGAAAATGTTTTCGAAATGTCAGCTTAAATCAAACTTGGTCCCATGAATTGGGCCCTCTTCTTCCAGAGGTGATGAAGGCAATATAATATATAGATAATATACATAGATATGAATATATGTGTTTCGCCAATCTAGTACAGGAACAATTAAGTTCCGCTTTGCCCAGGAGCTCGCAACGCAAACCCTCCAGACCGGCACATAGTGACTAAAGTGATATGATGAAGCGGAACTTAATTGTTCCTCTACTAGATCGGCGAAACACATTTATTCATCATATTCCCGATCACAACCGACAAAGCAAGGAACCCGTAGACTAGAGGTAGCGTACTG